GCTCTCCTCTACAACAGTCTGTACCTGGTTCCAGAAAGGCAATGGATGAAAGAGGTAGGATTTCTGTTCATTTAAAGAAGTGACCTCAGGGATGTAATGGAAAGCAATGTGCAGGCATTTTTTTTTTTAACAACTACTGGCCATACCAAGGTAAAACCTGTGAGAAGAGCTCTAGATTTAGGTATCCATTCAAAGAACAAAACAATAAATCCCAGTTCAATCCTTGGAGTGACACTTTAGATCTGTGATTGTATATGCTGCATTGATTATACACATGTTTTTTTCCAATGTTTGTGAGAATTACTTACTGACTACAAGGACAGGAGAGACCAATTTCTTATATGCACAGGCTTAAAATAAACATGGGAGAGTAAAGCCTACTCAGAAGATTTGTAATGTACATTTAAAGATGAGGTACTAAAACACATGTAGATACCTACTTGGGCATTGTCCACTTACCTGTGGAGACCTCAATACATTAATTGAGGTTTTCTGCTTAGCAACTTTAGTAACACTTTAATAATCTAGAACATGCTCAGTAACTAGCATAAGCAGGGACTGAACAGGCTACTCAACATGCTGGTAATTTCCATTAGTTATCTTTCTGAGGTCCTCACCCCGCTGTTACAGAAGTATCTACTGGCTGCAGCCTGCTCAGGGTCCTTTGTCCCAGGGGCAACATTCATGGTTGATAGGATTGTTTTGCTTTTATATCTCATTGATTTTTTTTTTTGATTTTTTTTTTTGGTATGGTCTTGTGAATTTCCATTTAATTAATATTATAAGGCAGGAAGGATGGTCCAACGGTTAGGTCATTAGTTTGGAAGTTGGGGGGAACAAGCTTTAATTCCTTAGTTCCACCACAGACTTACTGTGTGACCCTGAGCAAGTCACTTCAGGCCAGATTTACACGCACAAATAGGCACCTTATGATGTGAACAGGTGGGATTTATTAAAGTGCTGCCTCTAATTAACTCTCATGTATGGCACAAATTGTTCAAGTGCAAAACTCAAGTAGCTGGCTGTACAGTGAAGGCTTCCACTCACTTAGGGGTTGCATGCACTGACAGTAAGTAGGGTTTAAAAACAGCTTTTCTATTGTGAGCTAGTTGGGCTGTGGGTTCTCCAAGGAACTACCACCGTGATTCTGTTGGAGGGTCTTGGTTGAAGATTCTTATTCACATGCTACTTTGTTTTTCATTCCTTTGAAATAGTTATTACTCTGCATGAGATGGAGAAGGGGGGCTATTGGGATCACAGTTTTAAGCTTCTTACATGAAACTTTAGCCAAAGCCTGACTGTGTGATGAAATTAACAAAATGTTAAACACTTGAAAATAACTCATCTCCTTCATATGAGCACCATATGTAATAGTTAAGCTCCGAGTTCCCCGATTTAAAATTTAGAACATTGCACATTAAGGGTGTATTTAAAAAAGCAACTGAAGTTAACAGGAAGCTTTTGACATTTTTCACCAATGAGAAAATAGCCTATATTAGATCTGGCTTATATCCACAACTATAATTAATGAGCAATGTTTTGAAAGAATAGTCCTGAGTGAATCTCTGAAGTGTGTGTAAGCACTGGGGGGGGAGGGGGGGGTTGTTGGGTTGTTGTTTTGTTTTGTTTTTTTCTTCTTGTAGAGATCAGAGAGGGCCAAAGAAATCTCTTTGCTCTCTATAGATAGAGATTTCTTTGGCTCTCTTTGCTCTCCACAATCTACTGAACAAACTGGTGATCCACATTATTTATTAATTACTCCAAACCACTCCCTTAAGCCTTTACATGCTTGTACTTGTACAGGCAAAAGAGAGAAATATTAATTTTGCAAGCGTACTGTCATTCCTAGCTTCACCTAGGAAATCCTTTGTTGATGGTCATTCATAGTACTTCCCTATAAAGCTATGGATTTGGGTTGTTACTCCACTAGGGATCTCTTCCTGCTCTGTACATTTTAAATTACAGATCCAGTAGATACCTTGTTAAAGGGGACTGGGTTAAATGCCAGCCACACGCATTTGTAAGGAAATGTTGCACGTTGGGAAACTAAAAATATGTTTGAACCAGAACACTAAATCTGTGCATCTCAGGCCCTCTGCAAATTTTAAGAAAAACTGGGATCTACATCCAGATTCATATGCTGTGGCTCAGTGCTCACTCTCAGATGTTGAATCGGAAGATAAGACTCTGGGGAGAACCCCTCCAAATCTCAATATGACTTTGTTTGAGGTCTTTCTGAACAAAAAAGCAACCCAGTAAAGATGTTTTTAGCTTTGCTTCCCATATTGACTTCAGGGTTTGGGTTTTTCCTTTTTTTTAAGGTAGTATCATGTATTTTTCTTGCTTCTTTGGTGAAGTAATGTTAAACTGGTTCTCAGTTTAAGACTTGTGAGTTGTAGATTTATTGACAGCAGAATGTAAATTGCAGCACAGAGGAAACAGTACTATAACAGAGCAGCTGAAATGCATGAATATGCAGCATACCAAAGAGAATATTTGAACTGATTTTTAAAGAAAGAAAATGTCATTTCACAAGCCTGATATCTATACACTAAACCATGTATGGCTACATGAGCCATATATATATGGGGTGTATATTTGTATAAAGAGGAAACAGTTCTTAGTAGGGAATGAACTGTGGACAATTTTAACGCTGAAATCACAGTCTCCTAATGGTATTCCAACAATTGTGGGGAAGTTGCAGTTGTACAGCCACTCTACTTCACAAGTGGGAGTTTTATATATTAAGTTAGTCCCTCATATTCTGTCTCAGCCATTCGCATACCTAGGACCAAGGAAAAAATATGCGCACACACATTAAAACCCAAATTTGTATGTATTCATCAAGGTTTGCATGAGCTCAAGAGGGACACATTTTTTTGAAAACTTGTATTGTTTTGCCCAGCAAGCCTCACTAGCATGTGAAATGTCTATTCGGTCAATGCTAGCATTATTTTTCACCTCAGTAGATTTCTCTGAAGTGCAGAGCTTGAGGAATGTATGAGTATCATGATTAAGCTGACTAGCTGGAATGAAAAATGTGTGCGCTGCTCTGTTTCTTCCTTCTCTCAGGTGCTACCTTTGCTACCAGTAACAAAATAAAACTGTCCTGTAGGGCATAGTTTCTCAATCTGTGATACGTGTATCCCTGAGGGTACGCGAGACACAGGCAGGGGATATGTGGGTACAACAACACTCTCTTTCTCTTTTCCCCTCTCTCGCCCTTTTTTTCCTCTCAAAACCATGGCAAAAAATTTGGTGCCCAGTAAATTGCCCTGTAATAATTTGGCGTTCAGCCCTCCTAGCTTTGGGCAACATCACCTCTAGCCCAGGTACATACTTGAGTTGTGCACCCCTGGTGTAAAAGGTGGCAACCCTATCCACACCAGATCGGACATCTGTCATATCACGGCCTTATATACACAGCCCTTCTTCCAACGTATAGCACGCATTAGTCTGTAAATACAAAATCTCCTGGAAAATTGAGTGTTGGGGTACTTATAAAAATTTTCAGAACTGAGGGGGTACTTGCTATTTAAAAGGTTGAGAAACACTGCTGTAGGGCATTTGATTTGACTATCTATTACGCTTAACAATCTACTGATAACTCACTGTTAAAATGTAGTTTACTAAATCTCTTGTAGCGTATTTTGCTCTTCCTTTCTCTCTATCCTGGCTTGACCCGGGTTTTTCTCTTTCAAATCCTACGATAGATTCTAGTACATTGTTTGCTGCTTGTATGTGATTTGCAAGATTGTCTATATCCTCTCTCTCTCTTCTCATTCTACACCTGTATGCCCCATTCTTTTCTTTCCTTGCATTTTTTGCCTGTCCTTCCTTTCCTGTCCCATCTCCATTCCCTTCCTCCCCCTTCCCCCAACACTGCAAGTAGTCATTCCTTCCATTAATAAATCCACTTATTACTAGCAAGCAGGTTTTGAAAAATTTACTAGACACGTAGCAGTCATAGGAATGAATTAAAACGAGAGGAACAACTGTGCGGAGACAGTGCACTAAAAGCCTGGTGCTTAGATACTGCGGTGACAAGTCTCCTTAGAAGGCTCTGCTTGAGGACTTCATGCTTGGTAGTCCTGTTTCTTAGATGTCTATAAGCAGTGAGGGTCCTCATCCATTTGTAGGTGGCTGGAAGTGAATGTGTATCCTCTTGTGCACTGCACACATGCACTATCACTATTTCTTCCTGACATCTGCAAGGATAGTTGTTGTTGTGCCAGCTTTCTATGCCCCAAACCTCCAATTTAGGGGTTGTCTTCTATAAAAAGCAGTGCCTGTGCTTACCTTTGCTATTGCTTATAGCTGAACAGCACCTAAAAGTATATAAACTTCTTATTAAGCCAGCCAGTGAGATCATTAAAATTGGAGGAAGTAAGGTTTGTTGAGGGCTTTCACACAGGGCATGACCCTTATGCTATAACTGTATAGAAAGCAATAACCAAGATGCAAAAGAAGGAAAAATAGCTGAAGTTCATTTCTTCATTGTCTGTTTAGTTGCCCACATGATTGCTGACTTTTTCTTTGTAGTTTTATTTGTAAGAGCAGCAAATTCTCAAGTAGAGGAGTGTGACACTAAAGTAGATAATTGGGGGATGCTTACGGGATATATGTGCCAGATGAGAAAGCAACAAAATCTGCAGTTGCAAAGACCCTATAGGAACCCAAGGCAGGGGTTAAAAGAAGGAACTCGTACCTTGTTTCATCCCTTGGTATCTGCTTCTGTTCCCCACTATTCATGGCATGGTGCCCCAAAGGACTGTGGTATGCAGCTGACAATGGGGATAAAGTTTCAGCCATTTTGTGCCACCCCTAAAAAGAAAAAATGTTCAAGAACCTGTATGCTAATGAATAAATAGCTCCACTAAATTGCCTACTATCAATGTATGCTTAGGATGTTTAAAAAAAATATTACTTAGACATCTATTTCTATTTGTGGTCTTGTTTTTAACTTTTTTAAGTTTTCTAAAGTATTTTTTTTCCTTCAGCTGATGGAGTCTGTGTGTTTAAATGCTTGGTTAACAGAGACACTGAATACTGTCGTGTGGGAAAAGAGTCTGTTCTAATTACTATGGGGTACAACAGTGCCTTGCTACAATTCAAGTCACATGCTGGTAAGTACTGGCATTACTGCTGTCTTGCATTTGTGAGACTCTTTTTACTCCCCCCTTTGTTGCTTTTTGGAAAATTTAGCTAAAAATGTTGCTTTCCTTTCCATCTACTTAACATTATCTATCAAATATTACAATATATTATGATGATCATGATCCATGAGAACACTCTTGTATTCTGATCATCTACACTTTGATGCTAGCCATTCAGATATTGCATATTGATTTTTAAGGAAAATCATCATGGGCCCATTCTTTTTGAGATGAGACCATGACATAACATGGTACTTTTAACCTTCTATCCTTGATAAGTAACATTCTTCATGTGTACAACTTACCATTTTTTTATTTATCTAAAAGATCCTTATGGAAGTGCTCTTCATCTGTAGAGATATAGTACTGAGCATTTTTGTAATTCATTTTCTTTTAAAACCTGCCATTTATTTTCTTTTCTACCAAAATATCAGCATCTGTCACTTTTATTGATGTACTATAACATACACTCCTGGGCCCCTTCCCGATGAGCGTGGCCGTGCAGTATGTGACATCGCAGACCCATTTGTGGCATCACACACCACACAATCAGACATTCCCTGCACCGCTACCTTGCAGCACGGGGTGGTTGACCCCAGGAGATACCAGGGTCAAAAAATCTGTATAGAAAAAAAGTGGGTCAACACACGTGGCAGCAGTACACGCTGCCCAGAACCAGAGCCTGGCTGGCTGGAGACATGCTTCAGCTGCTGGCCAGGTTCCCAGCTGCAGGAGTGCTGTGCTGCAGCTTCCCTAGCCCCCAGGACCCTAGATGAGGCTGCTGGGTCCAGCACAGTGGCTTGCCCCAGCCTCCCCTACCCCACCTGGGGTAATCTGCCATGCGTCAGAGGGCACGTGTGATGGGGCTTCCCTGGGGACAAGTAGCAGTTGCTTAAGGTGTGCCACTGCTTCTTGTCCCCAGGGAAACAAATGTCCATGCTCATGTGGATGTGGCCCTGGAGTCTATGGGATATGTTCTGTTTCTTTACTGTATCTTTATAGAAGGCACGGTAGATTTACACCTTATAGACTAATCTAAGTAGCTATTAGGGCTGTGCGAAGCTTTAGTTACCAATTCAATTTGGAGGAGATTTGTCCCAATTCAGTGGACGAATCTCTGAATCTGAATCAAATAAGGAGACCAATATAAAGGTCTGAATTGATTTGAAGCCTCCGAATTGATTCAGAAAAGCTTCGGAGGAGATACAGTGATTCGGGCAGTCCCTGATCACCACCACAGGGAGCTAGACCCAGACTCCGTGCTGGTAAGTAGAGGGTGGGGGATAAGGCTCGAGGAGCAGGGAGGGGACCATGGGGGCATTCCCACCCGGCCCCATCCTCTGCCTGCTCCCCCAGCCTGACTGAGCACCCCCCAAGCCCTGCCCAGTCTCCCAGCCCCATCAATGGCTGCCCTGCCCAGCCCCAACATCCCAGCACTTTAAAAAAAAAAAAAGCCCCTCACTCACCTGCTGCTGCAGTGGCCATTGGGGCCTCTCGGGGCTTGTGGAAGAGTCCCCCCCCCCACAGCACAGGGCAGTGGGGGGCAGCAAGGATTGCCCCCCTGCGTCAATTCGGGACAATGATTCAAATCACCAGATCGAATCACTGTCCCCCGAATCCTAATCTGAAGTGAATACTAGCTGCTTTGCACAGGCCTAGTAGATATATATAAGCTTTCATGGTCTGAAGCTTAGTATATCACAGTAATCAAGGCCGTTTTCCACCCCCACCCCCCCACATACTTTAGTTAGTCTATGAGGTGCAAATCTACTCTGCCTTCTACTGAACTTCAGACTAACGTAGATAACTGTCTCTCAGCATCTTTGTATCTACTGATGCTGATAGAATTGAATTGTAATTAATGTATCACTGCATTTAAGTGAATGTGTGAAACCCTTGTGTCACGACCCAAAGGGTGTGATTTTTGTTTTTGTGTGCTTCGGCACTGCTAAATTGTTCCCGCTAAATTATAGCTTCTTTGCACGGTGGAGTTTTCTGCTGCAAAAGAGAACCCTGGTGCAAGGGAGAGTTTCCAGCCAATTCAAAGCTTTCTTTGCAGGGTGCATTTCTTTGTTGCAGCACAGAAATGCTCGTTGCAAAGAGTTCCCGCCATTTGTATGCTAATTTGAGCCCCATTATTGGCCAGTTCTAAATTATTCACACGTGGCGGCTAGTGATTGGCTTGCTAGCCGTATAAAAGGCTTGAGTGGTTTCCGCCCAAGTTGGAGGACTCCACGAACAAGGGAGGAGGAGACTTCACGCTGTGTGAAGATCTCTAAGCGCTGCGGATCCTTACGGACCCAGTGCATTTAAAGCAGGCAACAGAGGTCTGATCAACCTCTAGCCTCTCCCCGTCGCCGAGCGCAGTCCAGACGTATCCCTTCCCGCGCGCAAAAGAACCGGACCCACGGAGCCTAGCAAACTTCGTGTGAATCCTTGACCGATCTCAGAGCTCTTCTACCCGGGTTCGAGTGCTGCAGTTTTATCTTCCTGTCGCTGAAAACCCTTGCGACGTACCCTTGTGTTTTACATCTTCCCGTCGCCGGAACCCTTTGCGACGTACCCTCGTGCCCTGCAGGTTCGAGTTTTGTTTTGTTTTCTGTCTGTAACCGCAACTCAAGCAAGTTTTCCAGCCTACACCACTGCCATCTCGGTGTAAGTAACCAATCTTTTAAACTACCGCTAAGCGTTTGTGCCTAATTCCAGCTCGACGGCCTTCCCTCTCCGACCCGGCGTGCCCGGGCTGCTGGCCACAGCCCACGTGCAGCACGGAAAAGGGCTCGGGTCGCTCCCGGCCCGCACACCTTGTTTTGAAGCTCCATTTCACTAAATTTGTCCCTAGCAAATTTATTTTATATTCATGTATAAATAGGATGCATTTTCTCACGACTTTTCAAAACTGTTTTAGTTGGGGGGGTTTTGTGGGGAGATCCAAACGTTATTACATTTATTCTGTGTAGTGTAACTCACAGACCAAAGGTGATTTTGAGCCATTGTAAGAATAGAACAAATGTCCCTTTTCTATAATAATATCTGATTCTAATAAATCACTCTTCATCATTAGATTTCAAAACACTTTTCATTTATGAAGAGCGATGCTATAGTTACTGCTATTGTATAAAGCGGGAAGACAAATCAAGGATGTGAATGCATGTACATTTGGCGACTTACAACAGGCAACGGTTTCGAAAGGACAGGGGATGGGAGATTTTATTTGTTCTGTGTGAACAAGCTGAGCGGCTGGTAGATTTTATTTGTTCTGTGTGAACAAGCTGAGAACTGCTGCAACTTTAACGCTGCTTCATCCAGCGTTAGTACCATCTGCTGTCCTTTTGAAATGTTCCCCTTTTCGAAAGGAGTCCAAATGTACATGTATCCACAAAATAATTTGTCCTGTTGCAGAGTCAGCAATGGAACTGACGCCTTCTGAATCCTGGAGCAATGCTCTGTCCACAAGGACACACTTCTTTAAAACCACCTGCTCTGCATTTGGGCACTGTCACTACCTGACATCTTTGGTTATGTTTATATTGTTCATTCGCCTCTCTTGGCAATGTGTGGGGATATTATTCACACATTTTCCTGCACTGCCAAAACAACAGAATTGCAACATAAAAAAGAACAAATGCTACCGGTCCTTGTATTTCTCTTGGGATTATAGCTCAGTTTTCCCCCAGAAAATTGCATATCATGATGGAGGAAAGAATATTAATTTAAAAGTGAAAATGCCAAAACTCTACAGAGCAATTTCATAATCAGGGAGAACTCATCACATAATCAAAATAACTATATGGATAAATTATCGAATAATCTTTCAGTTCCAGAATCTGAAGACTTGATTTTAAAGTTCCTGGATATTCTTTAACTTTCCTGAAGTGAGGCATGATACAGAAAAACAAAAATGATTTTTGACCCATTTAAGTTATCAGGTAAATTTTCTAGCCATTTATAGCTCTTTCCATAAACAATCATAGTAGTTTTCCCTCTTCTTTTATGGTAGGCTTTCATATATTTGAAGACTGCTAAAGGCTCTGTAATCGCCTTTTCTCCAAGCAAAACATGACTATTTTTCTCAACCTTTCCTCATAATCTACAATGTATGCATGGAAGGTTTAGCCTGGCAATGTTTTCTTTATTATCTTTGTCCTCTAGAGTTTCTTATTTAATCTGCAAGAATCCTGCCTGATTTTTGCAAGGCACTTTAAGCTTATGACACCAATATACGACGTGTCATCTTTCCTTGTGCTGCAAACAGCAGGTCAAGAACATCAAACCAACACTTGAAAACTTCAGCTAATACCCTGCCCAGCCCAGCCTTCCCGTTCCTTCAGCAGTCTGGAGGTTAGGAGGCATGTGCAGCTCCACAATGAAAGAAGATTAAAAAAATTATGAGAGGTTTGATCATCTGCCTTAGGGACATGTGATTACTTATTAATATAGCCACAGATTATGGAATACTTAGCTAAAAATATTATAAGAGAATTACGGAACATGCCACAATCCAATGTTCTTTTTCTTTGACAATAGGTAAAAATAAATTGAAATGTGCATATAAATCGGTATGCCAAAACTAAGAACACATCCAGTATTTCTAAGTAAAATCTGTTCAGACTAGAAAATTATCTTGTCAGTATCGAATATAATGTACTGGCTGGTGCTTTTAAATTCAATATGCTAATAAAGAAGGCATTACTCCTTTCCTCTACTTTTTTTTTTTCGATCCACAGTTCTTAAATCACAGGTTAAATAGTACTTTCTTCTAAATAAAGTAATATAAAATAATACTTAATCAAGCCATAGAGTTGGGAACACTAACACTGTTTTTATTAATTAAAAATTAATAGTCAGCAGTCAACTCTTTTCTAGTGCCGTATGTACTGAACTTAATGGTGTATAGATATGTATTCTTTTAAACCCAGAGGAAAATAATGCTTCCACTCATATTTGAATGAAAAATTTTGTCCTTTTAA